GGAGTTCTCGTGATACTGGCATGCCAGATCAAACTGTTGGTAAAATAGAACACTAACTTACTCGTGCAAATAAATGTAAATATTTCTTGTCATTTCAATTGAAATTTTTCGGGTTTAAGCAACCGGCAGTTGGCAAGAACAGCAAAACCCATACTCAAATAGAGTTACAGAACTCATCAACTTTTACAAAATACTAGCATCTGTTGAAAAGCAGCAAAAGGAGCGAAAAAAGTTTCAGGCAAAACCCATATTTTTACAGTTTGTATGTTAATTTTTATGATAACATACCTTACCTATTATAGCTGAATATAAATTAAACTATCCCAACCTATTCCTTGTTATTTGTTTGTGATGTCATGCGCTTATCTCTATAAATCCTCCTTTTCTTGATTCAATGTGATAGTTCAACTCATCGGGTATTAGAAAATCATCAGTTGGTTTTATGAACTGTATTAGGGTGGTGAGCCATAAATAAGTTTGAAAAGATCCCCTAATATTCCCACCCATCAGTAGTAAAATTAACTGATTATCTTATAACGGTCAATGAGTACGTTTTCGAGGTCATGGATTACTTTCCCAGCTAGAAAAAAAAATCGTAAAAGTTTTCGACACTTTACCCTAACGGACTAGTGCATGAGTACCACATAGTTACATATATTTTTTTTTATATATGCCCTATATTTTTATGGTAACGAATTCGTTTAACCAGTAAGAAAAATACGCTTTTCTCAATAATGTTTTTAGGAAAAATTTGGTATTACGTCAGTAATGGCTCGCAAACGTGCTAGCAAATCGCCTTTGACACAACCACCAAAGCAAACGACTGATCAACCCAAACCGTCAAAAGCTAGTGAAGAAATAGAAGAGCTCCCAGAAAATATCTTTACTAATTCTGTTGATATTACTAAAGGTTAAACCAATCAAAATACTTTTTATTGTATATTTGACATTTTTTTGACATTAAATTTATGTAAATTAACAGTTACCAACATTTGTCAGAGATTAATGCATCCTGAATTACAAGTTGAAAATACAAATGAGCTTAGACCTCAACGGAAGCAACTCATCGTTAAAAGATCACAACGTTGTAGAATTTGCGAACATAATGTTAGTAAACCAGACTTTTGTCCTACATCAACGAAATTCAAAATACAACTGGCGGCTTTGTATGATAATCCTGTATTAGGTTAAAACTTAGTAGCTCTTTTCTGACAAGTATTTATTTATTCTTTACTTCATGTACAGCTATCATATACCAGAAATATGCATTGTTACATGTGAACCTTTGTGTCTTGGAAAATCTAGTGAATTACTTTTGAAGTTAAGTAATCCCACACAACATCAAACCTTTTTTTTTTTCCAATTAAAAATGAAAATAAAAATGTGTACTGTAGTGAGGGTGGGGCTTGGATGTGGCGTTGTGTGGTGTATAGGGGACTGGAAGTATGTCATGAGGGGCAGGGCGAAGAGAAAGAATGAAAGCAAAATCCATTTCCGTTACACTTTTTCTCAAGGTCACCAATCTGAAATCGTTGATTTACTCTGTAGGGCAGAACGCGCCTCTAGAAGTACAACTTCAATAACATGCGCAGAAATTAAAAATTAGGTGATTGACTGTTGGGGTAAGAAATGCACGTTTCTAAATTCTTAAAGGTGATTAAATTCTAGAAAGCAATTTTTATTTATTTGTATTAGTATAAAGTTAAGTAATTTGTTTATGCTGTCTAACAATTACAGTGCTAAATTTTCATAGTTATTTTTTTTTCTTGGTCAATCAACCTAAATATTGTGTATAGTGGTCGAGTATTGAGTCCTTTACCTTACCTATTTTGTTATTTATGCATGTGTCCGGCATTTAGTGATCGCAACTATAAGGTACTTGAGCTATCATGCTTGTCACAACCGTGCAACATCTTTTGTTTCATGAAGTAGCATGTGCTTTGTATATGTACACCGAAACGTAGTGACTCCTCGTCCATGAATGATAGGCAACTGAACACTGCCACATAATGTTTTAAATAGTTTATGTGTATAATTTTGCACATCGTTTTTTTGCAATGTTTAGAACTGTGATTTACAATTTATCTAATTCTTGCAGGTGGATTCTTATTATTGTCCTAACTGTTTAGAAATTCTTCCACCCACAGAGGTTCGATTTAAGAAAAATAAGTAAGGAAATTATATATTATATTACACACCTAGTGAGCGAGGTTCAGAATGTCGCAGATTTCACATGAATAAACGGATAACTTGAAATCTTGGGCACGGAAACCTCCGAACGTGGTGCGTATACTATCTTTTTGCATACCCCCGCCGAAAGTGCTTAATATCTGACCTGCTCCAAAACAAATAATCAGCTCTTTCGACAAGGGTATACAGAAATATAGCATTCGCTGTGTGCGTAATATCGGAACAGCGCCCTCATCAGAACTAAACGATGGATTGTGCTTCATATTAGTATATCTATATATTTACCTGATGTATACAGTCGTACATATATAGATATACTAATACCACGCACAATCTATCATTTAGTTACGATGAGGGTGCTGTTCCAATGTTATGCACACCGCGAATACGCACCACGTTTGGAGGTTAATAAATGCCGTAGATTTCACGTTATCCGTTTATTCACGTGAAATCTGCGACATTCTTAACCTTGCTCACTAGGTGCGTAATATACTAATTATATTCATTGAAACAGTTATAGTTTAATCCTCATTTTTATTAATTTTTTTCGAACATTTACACTTCCTTCCTTTTGCATATCATATACCCCAATATATTAATATACTAATTTAAAAATTCAGAAATTTACATAAAAAAAAAATTCTAGGTGTGCTAACTGTTTCGACTGCCCATGCTGCTCTCAAACATTGTCGATACGATCAGGCCAAGCAATTATGAAACCAGCACAGCTAATTGGCAGTGATGATTCTAAGCTAGTAACAAAAAAAGTATATTACTTAAGCTGTTCTTTGTGTAGATGGAGTTCTCGTGATACTGGCATGCCAGATCAAACTGTTGGTAAAATAGAACACTAACTTACTCGTGCAAATAAATGTAAATATTTCTTGTCATTTCAATTGAAATTTTTCGGGTTTAAGCAACCGGCAGTTGGCAAGAACAGCAAAACCCATACTCAAATAGAGTTACAGAACTCATCAACTTTTACAAAATACTAGCATCTGTTGAAAAGCAGCAAAAGGAGCGAAAAAAGTTTCAGGCAAAACCCATATTTTTACAGTTTGTATGTTAATTTTTATGATAACATACCTTACCTATTATAGCTGAATATAAATTAAACTATCCCAACCTATTCCTTGTTATTTGTTTGTGATGTCATGCGCTTATCTCTATAAATCCTCCTTTTCTTGATTCAATGTGATAGTTCAACTCATCGGGTATTAGAAAATCATCAGTTGGTTTTATGAACTGTATTAGGGTGGTGAGCCATAAATAAGTTTGAAAAGATCCCCTAATATTCCCACCCATCAGTAGTAAAATTAACTGATTATCTTATAACGGTCAATGAGTACGTTTTCGAGGTCATGGATTACTTTCCCAGCTAGAAAAAAAAATCGTAAAAGTTTTCGACACTTTACCCTAACGGACTAGTGCATGAGTACCACATAGTTACATATATTTTTTTTTATATATGCCCTATATTTTTATGGTAACGAATTCGTTTAACCAGTAAGAAAAATACGCTTTTCTCAATAATGTTTTTAGGAAAAATTTGGTATTACGTCAGTAATGGCTCGCAAACGTGCTAGCAAATCGCCTTTGACACAACCACCAAAGCAAACGACTGATCAACCCAAACCGTCAAAAGCTAGTGAAGAAATAGAAGAGCTCCCAGAAAATATCTTTACTAATTCTGTTGATATTACTAAAGGTTAAACCAATCAAAATACTTTTTATTGTATATTTGACATTTTTTTGACATTAAATTTATGTAAATTAACAGTTACCAACATTTGTCAGAGATTAATGCATCCTGAATTACAAGTTGAAAATACAAATGAGCTTAGACCTCAACGGAAGCAACTCATCGTTAAAAGATCACAACGTTGTAGAATTTGCGAACATAATGTTAGTAAACCAGACTTTTGTCCTACATCAACGAAATTCAAAATACAACTGGCGGCTTTGTATGATAATCCTGTATTAGGTTAAAACTTAGTAGCTCTTTTCTGACAAGTATTTATTTATTCTTTACTTCATGTACAGCTATCATATACCAGAAATATGCATTGTTACATGTGAACCTTTGTGTCTTGGAAAATCTAGTGAATTACTTTTGAAGTTAAGTAATCCCACACAACATCAAACCCAAATAATACTTCTATCATTGGATAGCCCCATGACACCTACAACGTCTGTACAAGGAGTAAAAGAGGAAATAAGCCGAGAGAACCTACAAATGGTTTGTTTTCATTTTTCTATTTTATCAATAGTAGCAGCATAAACATTTAGATTTTAAAATTATAATTAACTTTAAAACATTTTTTTTAAATGTTAATGGATTAAGTAACTTACAAATTAAATAGGGTTGTGATTCACCTAATTTACTACCTTCTGCTGTACGTCAAGCAGCTGTTACTGAGGAACTGCGACCGGTCACCATAATTTCTAGTGGTGATGTCATATTGCCAGCCAGCTCTTTAACATTACCTGCTCGGGATGATGCTGCTGAGTACGATGATCTTAGCGATACTTACAATTTTCCAGATGACCCAAAGTATTTATATAACTTTCACTGTTACATCTAGTTTATCTCAATCATCATGATTGCATTTTTATTTTACAGACTGGTTATATGGAGGAAAGGTAACCAAGCTATTATTCGCTTACATGTTTTGCCTTGTATAAATGAAAACATAGCTAAAGAAAACAAACTCGTAGTTATCGGTTTTGTTATGCAGTATGGCTATGTCAATACAATCGCAACCTTAGAACACAAGGCGCCTCAGAAATTAGATATGAAAGTTAAAATATTTTTAACTCTTGGAAATTTGGTTGGCTCAGTGTAAACTATTCAAAGTATTTATTTAATTTGTTAAACATTAAGAACTATGTTTTTCTTAAAACACCGAAATCAACGAATTTTCTTATTTCTCCTATATGAATCTAATACAAATGCAAAGTCATTCTCTCTGTACGTTCTTGTATTCACTAGTTTATTAACATGAGAAATAACAATTGTACTTTCAGTTTAATACAATGTACTCGCTTTCAACCAATTGGGATGTACCCTTAGATTTCCCATTTAAGTACGTTTATTGGCGTTCGTAAAAATTACATATAGCCATGTGTAATACATATATTGGATTTACATTAATTATTACCGAGTTAACGCTTAATTGACATTTGTCTTTTAACATCGCAGGTTTATGTAACGACAGTCTTACATTGAATATAGTTTTTTTCTTGTATCTGTAAGACATTCTTACAGCCATGTATAATACGTAGAAGGTAGTTTACATTTCTTTTCTAAGGAATTAAATTCTTACCCTGAACTTATAGTTAAATCAGCTGATTTTATAACATTTTTAAGTATCTGAGATCAGAACAGTTTTAATATAGAGATACAGAAATACTTTATCAAAGTTGATAACACTATTTGTATATGTATATCTTTAATTATGTTTTCTAAATACGTAACGTGAATTTTGCTTTTATATTTTAATATGTGTCCATAATGAATCTATTAATAATATCTATGATATGCATGGATAGATTATTAATGAGTACGTATATACTGTATGGTCCTACAAGTTTAAGTTTATACAAATCATTGTACATTTTTTGTCTTTGTTTTGAATATTTGTTACAAAATAAAATTTATGATTGGCTGTTTCTGAGCTTTGACCACATAGACACATGTCAGAGTCAATTATTTTAAATCTAAATAATGAGCTCCGAAGAAAGTTATTTACATCTCAATCTATTAAAGCAAGTTATAATTTTTCTAGGCAACTGAAGGTTTTTGAACCATGGTTTTTCACAGCTATTGTAATAGTTCTTGAAGTAATAGAGTACCCTTCGAGCATACCACATAGCGCTCACGCTATCTGCGGGCGAGCTTGGAACTATGGAGAGAAGGCTTTTCGACGCCTCGTACGAAGACCAGCACAGTTAAAATTTTTCAATGTTATTTTAAATAGGAAAATCTAAACTGTGGTAATCTTCGTACGAGGCATCGTTTTCATCATACTGTAAGGCTGCAGTCACGTGGAGCGCAAGGATAAAATTGTCCCCGTAGTATTGCGTGGCACAATTTTAGAGCATATATACCTGTAGGGAGCATACAATACTTCGGCCGCGAGACTAGCAAAGAGAGAGAGGGCCCGTAAAGCAGGATATGCTTTCTCTCTCTTACACTCCGATGATTGGCTAGCCCCTTTCCGTGTATATAGTTATAGTTGTCTCTAAGAGTAGAGCTGATAGGAGAAGAGAGCATAGATATATCTATACCTCGATACCCCTCTACCTCTTCAACCAATATATGTATAACTCAAGCTCTGGTGACATACAATTTATATATTACATCTATTGCAGTTCTAGAAGTCAATGATATTAACTACAAATATTTTCCAGTTAGAGCTAAAGAAGGTTTCATTCAATTTTATTTTATTTTATAATGTTCCAATTGTATCTGCATGAATTTTCAATGAAAATGTACACTGTAACATAAAAAAAAAAAAAAAATTTCCTAGTTGGGACTCGATCTATGTCTACAGCTGCAAAAAAACACCATTCGGCGCATGCAGCCCACTTAGCTATCATAATTGACTTCTAAAACTGCAATAGATGTAATACATAGGCTTTACGGGCCCTCTCTCTCTTTGCTGGTCTCGCGGTCGAAGCATTGTATGCTCCCTCCAGGTATATAAATATGCTCTAAGATCACAATAGACTTAACACAGTCTCTTACGGGGAAAATTCTATCCTGCATCTGCATGCTCTATTGCGTTCCATGTGACAGTAGCCTAATTAAAGTATCATATGTTCTATACAAAGTAGATTTATTATTATATTAAGGTACTGTCAAGATTTAAATAGCTCTAGCCTCGAACTTTGTCTTAAGCATAAGGTACGCAATAATAAACGTCGAATTGCGTCAAAACATTTTTATTATTCAAGTCGAGTCGTTCATTTTTTATTCTTTGAATATTTTTTAATTGTATCTTCTGTATTTTTACAAATAAATATTTGGTTATTTTTTTTTGGAAATATGTGAAAACCCGCATGTCCATGTGTGCAGGCTCAATTTGCTACAAAAAATTCTGATTCTCTTAGGATTATCCAATTATCATGACAATTTAGTACATATAATTCAAAAATATATATTGAAGAATGATAAAAAAAGTGAAAAACGAAAAAAAGCTTTGAAAGAGCTTGCGTTATTTACAAATACTAGTTGATATCAGTGTAATAGTCCAATGTATATTTTTCAATCATATGTTATTGTCATAAAAAATGAATCCCAATTAAAACGGAGTTTTTTGTAGCATGTTCTCATGCAGAAATTGAGCCTACACACATTAGCATTTGAGTTTTCACATATTTCCTAAAAAATTAAGTATTCATTTGTGAAAATACAAAAAATATAATTGAAAAATATTCAAAGAATAATACATGAACGAGTTTACTTGAATAATAAAAATGTTTTGACGCAATTATACGTTTACTTTAGCGTACCTTATGCTTAAGACACATTTAAAGACTCGAGCTATTCGAAGTGACACTTGTAGGACAGGTTTTAGTATGCGTAAAGTATTGCCGCATGATGCTTTTTGATATTGTAAAATGGCGCTAAATTGGCGCTCTTTTTTGGGTGCGTTCAAACGCAACGCCAATACTTTCTGCAATCCATTTGAACGCACAAGTGCGGGAGGGAGGACGAATGATCCTTCATCTCTGTCGCACTCGTGCATTCAAATTGATTGCAGATTACTATTGACGTTGCGTCTGAACGCAGCCGTGGTAATATGACTGCGGACGTAGCCAACGGAACGTCACTGCGTCAGAAAAAAAGGGTTCCCCTCCATAAGTTTAGCAAGTGATGCTTCCGTTTCCGTTAGACAAAAAGTGCATCGTGCACATGGATGTGGAACTCGACGTAATGTATCGACGCAAGTGAACGAAATATTAATTTAACATAATAATTACCATACTTTTTTTATGCTTTCACGTGTGATTTAGCAGTATTAGCTGTCAGGAAATTTCAAAAAATGACAGTCATCCGATAATAATTTTTATTAAATACGTAATATCAAACTATTCCCGATCAAACTCTTCATGACCATTGGCTGCTACTCCGACGCAACATACTGTTCCGCGTCCATGTGCACGATGCACTTTCTATCTAACGGAAACTGAGGCGTCACTTGCTAAACCGATGGTGGGGAACCTTTTTTTCTGACGCAGTGACGTTCCGTTGGCTACTTCTGCAGCCATGTCACCGCGGCCTTAGTGAGCTTCGAGGGAGCATAGAGAAAATATATATCTCTATGTGGTGGAGTGATATACTTGTATATATGTATACATCCATACATATATATGCATATCGTGACGTATATGTATGCTAAATGCTGCGTTTTCAAGCTCACGCCTTTCCCCATGCGCCTCAAATGGCAGTATCTCCTCCATAAACATATAATACATAGACACTGCTTGTTCTTATGTACGACGCTAAAGCACAAGTAAAAGGAGACACGACATCGAACGTGGGTGTCTGGCACTCGCACATTGCCAAAAGTGGGAATGGGCGAGAGAGACAGACATTTAAAACTTCAATTTCAGTCTGATAAAAAATTTTCTCTCTGTAGTGTCGAGCTTGCCCGTAAATAGCGTGAGCGCTATATGGTACATCCCATCCAGCGTTGGGTGAAAAGGATTCCCGCAGTGAAAATTATGGTCAGTAACATAAAAGTTACTGTCACTAACATACCAATCTATAGATTGTTGAAGAAGCGAATAGGCAGAGAAGGGAGGGGCATTCCAGAGGCTCTCACCGGTAGTCCCAAATGTGACTGGCAAACATGTGAGGAATAACACAAGCGCCAATCCCCACACAACCCAGGGCGCTCACTGGTCGCTTTAATTATTCATAATAAATATAATAATAAGACAAGCGCCAATCCCCACACAACCCGGAGCGTTTACTGGTTGCTAAAATAATTAATAAAATTTATTAAGTAACAACGCGAGTGCTCATCACCTGACTATCCACAATACTCTCAGCTCTCTACTGGCTGCGCTTAATTAACGCTTAAATTGTTATTTATTGCTTTTTAATAATAATTAATACTACCAGTAAGTGCCCCAAATTGCCTGGTGATTGTCGCTTGCCACATTATTTTATTTATTTTAAAATGAGTAAGCGACCAGTAAAAGCTACGGGTTGTGTGGGGATTTGCGCTTGTCTTATTACTTTATTTATTGTAAAATAAGTATGAGAGCAGTAAGCACCCTGGGTTGTGTAGGGATTGACGCTTGTCTGATTATTATATTCATTATAAGTAATTGAAGCGACCAGTAAGCGCCCCAAATTGCCTGGTGATAGTCTCTTGCCTTATTACTTTATTTATTTTAAAATACATAAGCGACCAGTAAACGCTCTGGGTTGTGTGGGGATTGGTGCTTGTGTTATTTCTCACATGGTTGCCAGTCGCATTTGGGAGCACTGGTGAGAGCCTCTGGAATGCCCCCTCCTGCGCCTATTCGCTTCTCCAACACTCTGTAGATTGGTATGTAAGTGGCAGTAACTTTTATGTAACCTACCGTAATTTTCACTGTGGGAAGACTTACATTATTGCAGATGTATCTCGCAGTGCGATTACAACAATGGAAACCATTAGATTCGTTAAAGTCTGAAGCTGGTTGGTTCTAGGTATATTTATATCCATCATTGAGATGACCAAATTCTCGTTGATGGCGACGCTTCCCTCTGTTCCTCTAATGTAATTAATGAAAATTATTTAGGAGTGGCTTCAAAAAAATGTACGCGACTATTATCGAGTTGATTTCATTGCAAGCCACGAATGTGTTTGTCTTCAAAAAATGGTTGCATTTTTATAGAATGAATTATAAAAAATAATGTAATAAGAAGTAATGTAAGTAATATGAAGTAATTTTATAGAATAAATAACGCAACCTAAGTCATACTTTTTTGATAAACATTTTTTTCGACAGACGTGGTAATAACTTAAAAACATTGCCTATTTTTTTGTTATTGTTTTAGTAGCCAACTACGTTATCGACGTCAAGTCGATGGCTGGCAAATTGAGCCTACACACATTAGCATTTGAGTTTTCACATATTTTTGCCTAAAAAATTAAGTATTCATTTGTGAAAATACAAAAAATATAATTGAAA